CCCCCCCCCCCCCTTCAAATAATCCTGGATCCGCCTCTTCCTGTACCCATATACATGCATGTCACCTCGAAGCATACCGTCCGATGGGAGCTGGGGTGGGTGGGGGTAGGGGTCAGGGCTTAATTACCCCACGCGTTGCTGAAGCTTAAGTGTAGGCTCAGACTTAGTCCTACGTCTGCTGTATATAATATACTGGCGATATACTATACAGGTAGCTAAGGGGTTGAACAGCTTAAAAGGAAATGCAAGTGTGTACCCGGTATCTGTATATTTGTGTGTATGTGTGCGCACTTGCGGCATGTACGTCTACTAGGCTTATGAAAGCACTTTTGCTTGGTGTTTCAAGACCTTTTTGCTCCTCATTCAGACGTTTCATTTTTGCGTTAGTAATTAGATTGACCTAGACCTACTTTTCTGTTTAATTTATCATAAGGAACCATACTTATACTATACTTCAGTTGGATGTTAAGTACAGGTAGGCCAACAGATAGTATCGGTCAAGGAGGGACAACAGATAGAATTCCTTGTATCGATATACTGTCAGAGATACATGTAGTGACCCCTTTTTGCTACAGGTACAAGTACATTTACACACGGAAACTTTTGCCCGGCACTGCCTCTAATAGAACAGTACAGCGCTTTCCGAAAAGTTCTGTAGGAATACAACGAAACGAATAAGACTAAATGTTATGATGGTTAATTAAAGCGAAGTAAAGGAAAATAATGAAAATGAAAAATTTTATGTGCTGCATATACCGTCACCATAAAAAACAGGAAAATTATAACACTTCACATTTGTGAAGATTTGTTTTCACAACTGGTTTTGAATTAGATGTTTTACAATGCGTTTAGTAGTAAAAGTGATGTTTTTTGATGTCATGTTCTTCAAGCTTAAGGTCACCTTATCCTATCTAGTATATGGAGGTTTCCGCTACACTCTTCGTACGACGCTTACATTCAACTCTCTATCCACGCATTCCAAATGATTAACATGCCGCTAATGAAATAAGTTTTATTCAATAAACAGAAAATTTAATACATTTTTCAGATGACAAACCTCTTTCTGGAAAGGTTGCCGTGGTAACAGGAGCCTCTAGTGGCATTGGTGCTGCCATCTCTCGTCAACTGGCTGCTGCTGGTGCAAAGGTCGCCATGGCAGCAAGACGGGAGAACTTGTTAAAAGAAATCCAGGATGAAATTTTAAAGGAAGGGGGCGAAGCTCTAGCAGTGAAATGCGATGTTACGAACAGAGCTGAGGTAAAAAGGGTGTGGCATTGTGTATGAATGAGATGTGAATCGTGTTATGAATGTGGGGCAGAATCTTTTTGAAGTACGCTATATGATTTGGGTTGGGCAATATCTATATAATTTCGAGAAATAAAACAAAGAAAAAGATATGTTCGAGATAAGCCATAATTTAAGTGAAACGCAGTGAGTTATATGCGGCGTCTACCGGTAGTATTCTTCAGGGTTGAAGCAACGTGTTTCTTAACATGGCAAAATTATACTTATACATTGTACCTGAAAAGCAGAGATTCCTCAAAAATGAAATTGTCCAAAGTATTCTTAAAATGGTTAAATTGTAATCTAAAAACCAAGCATTGAAATAGTACAACGCTAAGTATCTCCGCATAGGTGAAGGAGCTTATTCAGCACACAGAAAGCACCCTGGGTCCCGTGGATATCTTGGTGAATAACGCTGGTTACTGGGTGATAAGGTGTATGAAGAACCTTCACGAGGAGGAGTGGGATCAGCAAGTGGATGTGAACATCAAGGTAGAGCCACTTTGGTTTTCAAAGTTACCTGGTAAACAACCCCTATATTATCAAAATCCTGTACTGGGATAAGTTGTTTCGTACCATTTCAATTTAACCAGTTAGTTCTAAGCGAATTATTATTTATTCAGAGTACCATGCTTTTCATGAAGAAAACGCCAACATAAACTACTTTTATTTGACGGTTTTTCTAGTTTGAAAGTCTGAATTTGTAGACATGTATTTTTCAGGCCATTTAGACAAAAGATTTGTCGTTAGTGCATTTAAAATGAGTATAAACACCTTTAAGATATACCTTAACGAATCTGTCAGAATCTTTTTCTACAGGGAGTGTTGAACTGCATCGGAGCTGTGATCTCAGGGATGTGTGAAAGAAAAAGTGGTCATATCGTCAACATGTCATCAGAAAATGGAAAGAAGGTAGGCCCTAATGGTTAATTGTCAGCTCTCACTTCTGTATGAAAAATGAAAGCGTAAGACTCCGATCCAGTCAGATAGTTTGTTGATCCATAAGCTTTCAGAGTTTCAAAAATGGTAATTTTCATCATTTTGTAGCAAACTCGGCTCGCATGGACCTTTTTCGTTTAGTTAATCAGTTTGTTCTTATGTCATTCATTATGCAAATCAAACCATGTACAACTGTTCATTCAATAGCCTTTTTACTTCAAAAAGTGCAAGGAACCTAGTTATCCAATGGATTATTCGAACAACAGTTACTTGTCACTTTTTTATATTTATAGTTCCACCGTGACCGCATTTCGTCGAAACAAATTTCATATACCGATACTTAGGCCAACGTACGCTACACTGAAGGCAATGTACATGTAGAGCTCTGATAACTTCATGAAATTTAACACGTATTACATATTTGGATCGGACATGCTGCAAACATTTTACTTAATTTAATTCTGTTTCAATGCACATTAATTCATTGCATACATTACTATGGCATTCCAGGCTTTTGTAGGGTTTGCCGTGTACACAGGGTCGAAGTTCTTCGTAGAGGGGATGTCACGGACGCTTCGTAAGGAAGTTTGCAAGGATGGCGTTCGCGTTACTTGTATTCAGCCTGGTGATGTTGAAACGCCCGGTTACGCTCACAGTTTGATGACAATCGAAGATAGGCAGGTAACACATTTCACGACATAATGTCCACTGGATCTCTTATTGCCCATTTTAAATAAAAATCGATAATTGATCCGTGAGCGGGACACTGCTGATATGCTACATGTGTATAAATTTATCGTCAGATCATATTAAGGTTACACGTAATTTGTTTTATTACTAGTGACTGTGCTTTATGTGTTTTTCCTCAGTGGTCAATATCTGGTACCATGCATATTCAGATTGTAGGTTTTACAATATCAGGCCTTTTAAACAGTATGGTCGTTTGGATTGCGAGTCGCGGATTTGAGATTGTGAACGCCAAGTAACGACTTATACTGCGATTTTATGGTGCGAACGTCAACGTACTTACTGCCAGCACCGCAATATTCATGAAATTGGGGTTTAAGTTGTTAATTTACAAAACTGTAGCTCGAAATCACTAACGGCAATTCTCGTTTTTGAGGCCTAAATTATGAAACTGGCATTTCGACTGACATATGCTTCCGAGAAGGTTTTTTTTTTTTCAGAATAAATGAAGCAAATTGTCTTTGAAATTAGCATTATAAACCCAGTGATTTGGAGCGTGAAAAATATATACTATTATCATATCATTTCAGTGTAAACCGCTGTACACTTACCCTTTTCCTTATCCAATTATGGAACCTGAAGTTATCGCCCAGGCAGTCCTTTATGCAGTCACGCAGCCAGATCACGTGGCCGTCAACGAGATTCTCGTGCAGCCCAGGGAGAACCCGCTGTAGATCATATCACTTCTCAAGTGCATTCTCCCAATGGGAATGACGTCACATCCGGAGATGGTCCATACAAGTAACGGTACTAGACACTGCACAGCGCTTTTGAAATATTTGAATGAAACACGAACAATTAACTTTCAAAACAGTTTTATTGCAGACTGCTACTTTCATTATGACGTGATTTCAAATATCTGTACATATAATTATATGTTAACACTTCTGCGTGGGGCTCCTTTAGACACCATGCATGTATCTAGAAATAATCATTTTTACCTAAAAAAAATGGTATTCTGTCTTGAAATATCAGATTACTACACATTTGCAGTTTGACATGAAATGAGTGAAGCTTTAATTACCAACCAATTACTGGTGTGAAAAGGAATTAGATGCGTTTAGGGTGTTTTTATTTTATTGCTTTAAATTCCAGTGAACAGAATTACAAGGAAACAGAACTGTGAATGAAGTATCCTCCTGTGAAAATCTAGTATTTGGAGTAAATAATTAAAATTTATTACCACCACCAAATCGTTATATATCGCTACTGTATTGCAAAAAATTATGTACTGTACATATACCGGTACCTATTGATTTGCCCTTTTTCAGAAAAAAAGTTGATTGCACTTCTTCTATTTGTGCATACTTACTTGAATTCTTCTTCCGTGAATGGATTCCTGGGCGACACGTAAGTTAACTCAGACGTTTATTTTTCTGCATTTCATATTTTTGATTTTTAACAAATTCAATGCATTTACTGGTATGTTGCTTGAGTTTACACCAGGGGAATCCTGAGACGTGTATTATATTTATATCGTTAAATAAAGCAATGAAGAGCTTAACCAATCGTTGAAAGCTTCTTCGAAAGCTTGTGTTAGAACAAATTTACTTTATATATACAGCCAAAAATGCATGCTAAAGCTTTCATGAAAAAAAATATAAAACCAGATGGAATTTTACAAACCAAGGTCAAGAAGACGATTACGAAGACAAGGTAAGATGATCAACGGGACCAAAGACTGCAACCATGCTTTTACCGGCGGATGGCATCGACATACACAGCTAACACTTTGTGTTGTTTTAAAAAATGGAATAAATGTTTGATCGCGTTTTCATCGATTTTTCGCTGCTTTTCCCACGCATAAGAGACCGATTTTAATTTTATAAGAAATTGATGTTCCAGGTAACGGAGAATGCGCCTTCTGTTAGATTCATATGGGTTAGAAACAACGTGCCTTAGGTGGGGCATAATCTAGGCTTGGGAGTTTCTGCACGATTCAATAAGAACCGGGGTCTCATACAGTGGACACTATAGTACGCGGCACCGGTCTGACTCTGACTGCAGCTGCACGGTGCAAGTGCAGAAAAGAAGTTATTTAAAGGTGGCTTAAATGGCTTAAACGAATCTCAAATGGCTTAAACGAATCATATTCCTCAGAAAACAACTAATGATATCTTTCTCCAAATACACAATCTGAAAGCTTATTTTGTAAATTTTGGGCTTTAAAAAACGTCCTTTTTGCTCGGCCTGGGAGTTAATGAGCTACGTGGTCACTTGTTCCGGTGACGAGGCCACCGGAGGAGAGAGCCAAGCAGCGTGTTTAGCTGTCAGGCTGTGCTGAATTGTCTACCTGTAAGATGACTTTCAGACTCCTGTAAGTACTATGGACAAAACGCTTTCACGGAGGTCTTAGAAGATGTGTGTTAAGACCCCATTCCCATAGATTTTAGATCGATCTATCTCTGTGGGGAGTCTAACTAGATTACTGTCAGCTTAGCCGGCTTAAGCGTCTGTCCCGCCTACTAAAAGCTGTAAGGGGGCAATTAACTATGGTGCGCGCTCGGCTGACTACAATTTAGCGTGAACCCCCAGTTAGTTAGGTCGATCTAAATCTAAAGCTCTGGATCGTTCTAAAGCTCTGGGAATGCACCCTTATCATTGACCTTGTCTTTACGATAATGTTTCATATAAAGCGAGCGTGGACTCCAAGTAACGCATATAATAATTTATTATTATGTCCAAGGCTTAAATAAAGTAGACATGCCAAGTACTACTCAAAATAAACCCCTCGTTCTGCCAAAAAGTAGCTTTAAAACTGTACCTTCATCACATTTCTGGTCGAAAATTGACCAATTTACATGTACCTGTTCAGCCAGGTTGGCGGATATTACAGGCACATTTTCCACAGTTCCAGTAAGGGGATGCAAATGTAATTGCGCGCGCAACAGCATACTTGTTCAAATGAATTACCGAAAAAGACAAAAGATTTATTATAGCACAGAAAGAAAGCAGAATACTGTATATACTGCCTGATGTAATGTGAAGTCCAGTACCTTAGAGAGATCTACAGGGGTAGTTTGCAGAACCACTTGTCTTGGCACTTGCTCCAACCAAGGTGCAGTTGTACGAGTCCCTTGAATATGACGACCGCTACAAAGAGTATTTAATCCCCAAATATGTTTCTTGTTGCTAACACTTCTTTCTGACTAGATACCAAGCAATTAAAAAGTGGTATGATCTACAGCGCGGTCTCCCTGGGCTGCACAAGAATCTCGTTGACGGCCACGTGATCTGGCTGCGCGACTGCGTAGAGGACAGCCTGGGCGATGACTTCAGATTCCAGAACTGGGTAAGAGCGAGGGTAAGTGAACAGCGGTTTACACTGAAATGATAATAATATATATTTTGCACGCTCTAGGTCACTGGTTTTTATAATGCTACTTTCAAAGAGAATTTGCTTCATTTATTCTGCAAACAAAACCTTCGCGGAAGCAAATGCCAGCCGAAATGCCATTTTGATATTTAGGCCTCACAAACAAAAATTGCCGTTAGTTATTTCAAGCCACGGCCTTGTAAATTAACTACTAACCCAATTTAGAACTTGGAATTTCCGAAAGCTTGGCGTGTTGTTTTCGTACATAAACAGCGAGAGACATGATCGAAAGCTGATCAAATCGTTCCTAATAAAAATTGCGGTGCTTGCAGCAAGTATTTTGACGTTCGCACCATCGCAGTTGAAGTCGTTACTTCGGCGTTCACAATCACAAACCCGCGACTGGCAATCCCAAAAGACCATTTTGTCTAAAAGGCCAGATATTGTAAAACCTACACTCTCTGCGAGATATTGATAGTTCTTCGGTTTTACTGAAGCCTTAATTGTCCCATGTTTTGTGTACATGTAATTCATCTACAGTACAATATGCTGCCTCAATTATCTTCATCCTCTCATGCTTTACGCTATATTTGGACATAAAAATAAAGGGAAGAGAAACTCGGAGCAAGATCAAAGGAGGGGGATGCATGGGATAGGCGGATAGACCAATACAGGATTAAGCGGTCTTCCTGTCAAGTAGGTCCGCCATATTTAGGACGTGGCCTAGCTAGCTCTCGGCTCTTCTGGCCTCTTAGTTGATAATTTCTTTACTCTCAATATTAACCCCGTTGGAAAATGGCACCACACATGAATCGGCCGATACATTGCTTTTAAACCAGTTATATATCAGCTTAACATAGATCATTACAATCTTGGACATGATAACAAGTATTGGATACAAACGCCAGAACCCGTTTTTATGAGGTAACAGACAAAATTTACTGAAAACCCGGAACAAATTCGCCTACCCTTAATTTGATTTGACGATAAATTGATGAAGCATGTCATGTACATGTAAATCAGATATCGATTTTTTACTTTAAAAGCTGGCAATAAGAGATGTAGTGGACAAAGTTCTACCTGCTCATCTTCCATTGTCATTCTATTCGTGGCGTAACCGGGCGTTTCAACTTCACCAGGTTGAATACAAGTAACACGAACCCCATCCTTACAAACTTCCTGGCGTAGCGTCCGTGACATCCCTTCAACGAAGAACTTCGACCCTGTGTACACGGCTAGCCCTACCCTGGAATAATATAGTAATTTATAAATGAATTAATGTGCATTTAAACAGAATTAAATTATTTAAAAGATTTGCATCATGTCCGATCCAAATATGTGTAAAACAAATTAAATTTCATGAAGTTATCAGAGCTCTAAATGTCCATTGCCTTCAGTGTAGCGTACTTAACTATTGGTATATAAAATTTGTTTCGACGAATTTGTTTCAATGCTGTAACTGTGGTGCTGTAAATATAAAAAATGACAAGTAACTGGGGTTTGAATAGTATTCATTTGATGAAAAGGTTTCTTGCACTTTTTGAAGTTAAAATGCTTTCGAATGAAAAGTTGTAGATGGATTGATTTTGCAGTATGAGAGACGTAAGAACAAACTGATTAACTAAACGAAATAGGTCTAAGTGAACCAAGTTTGTAACAAGATGATGAAAATCACCAAGGATTATTTTTGCAACTCTGAAAACTGATAGGTCAACAGGCTTTCTGACTGAATCGGATTCTCCAACTTTCATCTTTCATACAGAAGGGAGAGCTGGCAATTAACTATTACCTTCTTTCCATTTTGTGACGACATGTTGACGATATGACCACTTTTCCTTTCACACATCCCTGAGATCACAGCTCCAATACAGTTCAACACTCCCTGTAGAAGAAGAATCTTAACGATTATTTAAGGTGTATCTTAAAGGTGATCATACACATTTGAGAAAGCTCCAACGCCGTATCTTTTGTCTAAATGGCCTAAAAAATGCGTGTCTACATTTGTACCTTTCCAAGTTCAGACCTTCAAACTAGAAAATCCCTCACATAAAAGTATTCGATATTGGCGTTTTCTTCTGTGAAAAGCCAGGAAGACGCATGACGTATTTCGCTTAGAAGTCATATTGGTTTTAATTAAAATAGTACAAAACACTTTATCCTAGTGCAAACTTGAGGATTTCCGATGATCTACTTGCTGACTGCCAGTACACTTTAAAACCCACTTTGGTCCTACCTTGATGTTCACATCCACTTGCTGATCCCACTCTTCCACGTGAAGGTTCTTCATACACCTTATCACCCAGATACCCGCGTTATTCACCAAGATATCCACGGGACCCAGGGTGCTTTCTGTGTGCTGAATAAGCTCCTTCAACTACGCGGGGATATTTAGTGTTGTATTCTTTCAATGCTAGGTTTTAAGATCATTTTTATCAATAACAATTTAACCATTTTAAGAATTCTTTGGAAAATTGCATTTTAAGGAACCACTATTTAAGCACAGTGTATAAGTATAGTCCTGACATGTAAAGAGCCACGTTGCTTCCACTTTGAAGAACACGGAGATGCCGCATATAACTCGCCGCCTTTCACTTAAATTATTGTTAATCCCGAACAAATCTTTTTCCTTGTTTTATTTCCTGAAATTATATCAATTTTACCTTGCGCCAATCTTACCGTAGCTCAAAAATGTCCTGTCCCAATTCATAACATGATTCATATCTCATTCATGCAAAATGTCACACCCCTTTTACCTCAGCTCTGTTTGTGACATCACATTTCACTGCTAGAGATACGCCCCCTTCTTCAGGGAGTTTAACTCCCAAGACGGAAGTACGTTGAGTTTTGATATATTTGTTTTAAATTTTGTTTTAAATTTGTTTACATTTGTCTTTTAATATTCCTTTATTCTTTCTTACTAATGGTTTTATTCAACTATGATGCAATGATTGTAATAATCCAACCCTCGGGTTGCAAGTTTGGTAAAAATAATAATAGTAATAATTTAGCATTAAATGAAGTATAGCACAGGTGCTGAGCTTACGTATTCACCGATTTGGTGAACACTAAAGAAATAGGGAGACAAAATTTCAAAATTATCAAAGTACTCGACGTATTTCGGTCTTGGGGTGTCAACCCTATTGGGCTGAGGACTGGCTGGCTGAGGCAAATTGAGTAATATAAATATGTACCATAAAACTACCGCCCACTGCAATTGGACAACTAACACACTAAGCGAGACCTGTATTTCACTCTGTTGAACATCTGTTGCCTTCTTATTTGGCTGGCAGCACGTCAATCGTTTGGAATGCGCGGACAGAGGGTCGAGAAAAAGCATACGGAGAGTGAAACGCCAAGTAAAAGTGCTCTCATAAGCTTAGTAAACGTACAAGAATATGTCGTCACGTACATGCACACACACACAAATATACACATACCGGTTAGACACGTGCATTTCCTTTCAAGTTTTCATTTTACACCAAACCCGTAGCTATAGTATATTGCCGGTATAGAGCAGACATAGGACTTCGTCTGAGCCTCAAAGATGTGTACCTCTACCAGGGTCGCAGATTGATTTTTCACCAGATATTATTAGATATGTCTCTGGTTAAATAGATGAATAATCTTTATACTGTGGGCCTCAGCAAAAAAATGTCCACAATAATAACTGCGGCCCTAGTAGAGGGTAAAAGATGTGTACACTTCGGCGAAACGTGGGATTTACCCAGACAACACCCTTCCCCCCGCCCCTAGCTCCCATTAGACAGAATACTTCGAGGTGACGTGCATTTACATGTTTACAGGTATATCCAGGTTTCAGTCAACTATAGATGCCATATACTAAGACAAAAATGTCTTCAACTATACAATATTAAACACGCATTTTAAAAACACTCACGCATCACATTGCGTGACCTAGATACAGCGACATTAAAGATTCATATGAAGTCAATTTTTGCTACAAAAACATACCAAATACCAGCATATAGTTTCAAGGAGTATATATAAGAGAATTACCAAAAGACGTCGCTTAATATTACCAAAAAAAATTATATTTGAATGGATTTTTCTGGTAGCTTTCTATGCTGCAGAAAAGTAAGTCACATAAGTGGGTTAAATTTCTGACCACAAATTTTAAGAAAGTAGCAGTCTAAAGCTCTTTTATGGCTGATCGAGTGATTTATTCAGTTTATCCCTTGGCATGTCGACTTAATTGAGTGGAATAAGGAACCAGTAGAAGTGGTATATATGTGTTACTGGGAATCCACGCTCCACCGCTGCTCAGTTCATATGTACCTTATGAAGAGTAGGTGCAGTTCAAACATTCACTGAAAGCGCCTTATGTACATGTACTTTACCTTATGTACTTAATAAAAAATACCGGTAACTACAATAAAGTACAATAAATTTTATTTCATGTCGGGTATAAATGGAAAGAAAGCATTAGCTTTGAAGCTCTTCACCGACTGGGCAAGGACAAACATTTCTACAAACAGTGAAATATTTACATGTAGGACAGTAAGGGGAATGTCTTTCTACTAATAATATACTGATACACATGAAGTCTACCAAGATAAATGAAAAATATATGAAAAATATACAAAATGTAGACTTAATTAATTGTGAAAAACAAACATTTCTACATACAATGCTCACTAATATGGATGCATAAAATAATGTAAACATGTTCTATTATTGCACAGTTTCACTAAATGCATATAGATTCCACAGGCTACATTTGCATTTGGGTCCTTTCCTTCCTTAACTATAAATGTAACACTTTATTCGTTCACTTAGGTGGTGCTCACCTCTTGCAGACGTCTACATCCTTAAGAGCACTGCAATTTAACTTAAATATACGATTTCTTCTGCTAAAATGCAATGCCACGAATTTGCCAGATCACCCTATTGTGGTTGATAAATACGTAATACATTATTTGTAAATCATCGCTAGATGGCGCTTAAGAACAACTGCAACCACAAGTAATAAAACTGTAACCAAATTCCCATGTTTAGTCACTCGAAGAAAGAATTAAGCGTGAACTTATTGGATTGGAAAACAACAATGTAAACCTGATCAGCTTACTTGTGTAATAATAATAATAATAATAATAATAATAATAATTGGAATCTCATTCTAATGATATGATAGGAATCAAGCATCCATGTTTTCCTTACCTGATAGTTAAGACAATATACACCCTGATTTTCTGACCCATGATATTGTAAAATCATGCAGACTCACATATGGACATATGGGGGAGGGGGGGTTAATATTTATAAATGGCCAATTGTATTTGAAAGACAACCTACATACGTCGTTTACAGCCTTCTTTCCCAATGTCCTGCTCATTGAAAAATAAAGTGATAGTTTAGGAGGCATAAGAATAGTTAGGTTGTTTCAATGTTAGTGTAATCAAAGAGTTGTACTCATCTTTGGTGTAATTCATTTGCATAAATGTGAAATTGTAGTTTTTCTTAATCTGAACACAAGGTTGAAAAAAATCGTAGGGTCCGCACCGACAGCGTGTCAATCTTCAATGAAGCCACTCAAAAGGCGTGCAGGAAAAACACTGATATTGAAAGGACGATAATAAATCGAATTAAAATTGATATCCAAATTAATTTTCAACCCTTTTATATTCAATAAAAGTGATGAAATGTACTGAATTCAGAAGTATTGGAAGAACCATGATCAAATACGTATGGAAGAAGGTTTACCAATGAAATTTTAACTTTTAAAATGACAAAAGCCGTTGTTGAAAAGAATTTGCCAACTGACAGCGGCTTGAAAGCGTTTCATTTCAATCTTGATGGCCTGATTTTGGCCCATTCCCGAAGACGCCATCGGTCTACGTAGATCGATCCAAGTTTGCGGGGACCCTTGCTGAATGCAATCAACTTACTGAATGATATGCTTCCTCCTAGCCTCGAGAAGAATACAGAAAAGCAGGTATTTAAACAAGTACGTTGGGGAAAAAAACAGGAGTCGTGTCATACATTAAAGCTGATTGCACTCAGCATGAGTCCCCGAACAGTCGGAACGATCTACTTAGACAAATGGTGTCTATGGAATGGTGTCTTAGAAGTTAAATAACTTCTTTTCTGAACTTGCACCGTGCAGCTGCAGTTGGAGTCAGACCGGTGCCGCGTACTTAAGAGTCCCTTGTATGAGATCCCGGTTCTTATTGAGTCGTACAGAAACCCCCAGGCCTAGATTATGGCCCACCCAAGTGTTATGTACCTTTACATATANCCCACTGCATACATTCCTGTAGGACACCAGTCACAACTGTCTATAGACTTACCCACTGCATACATTCCTGTAGGACACCAGTCACAACTGTCTATAGACTTACCCACTGCATACATTCCTGTAGGACACCAGTCACAACTGTCTATAGACTTACCCACTGCATACATTCCTGTAGGACACCAGTCACAACTGTCTATAGACTTACCCACTGCATACATTCCTGTAGGACACCAGTCACATCTGTCTTTAGACTTGCTGCTGTATTTTCCAGGGTCACAGGGGAGGCAGCCATCTTGACCTGACTCATTTTGGAAAGTCCCAGGAGCACACATCTCACAGAACTCTGTAGAAGAAAGTATTTAAATTCATTACACACCATTACCATCTTTATCAATCCAAAATATCTCTATTCAGTTTTAGGTGTACACCTGATTGGTAATTATAAGCTGCTCAGTCAATTTAACTTACTTAGATTTCCATCAGAGTAAGAACCAGGTTCACATTGGTATCTCTGTCCTCCACGGCAGGCATAACCAAGTTCACACTGTGCACAGCTATCTGGACAATAGGTGTCATTGCAGTAGTCTACATAGGTGAAATCAACACATGGTGCGGCATAGCCTTGACTACAAATCTGGAATCAGAAATAGTTTAACAGGTTGAATGCTACAATGTATGGAACATATGCTATTAAAATTAATTTTAATATTCAAATAATTACACTTTGTCCATGCAAAGAAAAAATATTTAAACATTTAACATCATGGCATACTTTGTCCATGCAAAGAAAAAATATTTAAACATTTAACATCATGGCATATTCTGAAATATGGAATTCAATGTATAGAAATAATCCTCTTTTGTTTTATCAAAGTATATCATGAAAATATTTTACCAATATGCCATGATATATGAGGTCAACATGCAGGTCAATATATACCATAAAACATTGACCAGGAGTGGGTTACAGTAATACTCATTCATCCAACAAGACCAGGACAAGCCAGTTATGGTAATACTCACCCATCCAGCAGGACATGGAGAGCACTGTGCCTGGAGGCCAAAGGAATGTTCTGTGGGGGATCGCCCACACGTATCATTGGTGTCAGTGGCATTATCACACCTGGCACAGGAATGCATCACACCATCTCCCTCACAGTAGTAGGAGGTCAGGCAACGGACACAGGACACATCATCTGGACAGAAAATTGATTTATTTTTCACATGTATATTTAAGATATATAAGTATTAATGTGAGTTAATAAATAGGGAGGTAATGCTAATGCATAAGACTGTAATAAGATGTACACAAAAATCGTAATTATAGGCAACCTGCTATATACAGGATTGAAGTGACATGGTCTTAAAGTTTTGTCTTTGCATTTTCATGTTATAATCTTCTACATAGTCTATATACTATGTTATAAATAGCAAAACTGAATCATACAAAATGCCTCAATTTGGACCCTAATTAATACAATCAACTTTTCAGAACCCAATTTACAGACAAGTTTATAGATATTTGTTTATTATTTATGTGTTAATTTTGTAATATACATGTATAACAATAAAATTTACTATTCCATCAGTCTTAATAAACTATCAATAAATATTATAAAATACTGCCAACATATATCAAATGTACAAGTACGCCTAATGCTGTGACTTACAGTACTTCTGCTCTGCCTGTGAGCAGCCAACCATCTCCATCCTCAGTGCTATTCTGTTGTGCCATGTGACTGGGTTCAAACGCAGGTACTGAGCAAAAATAGGTGGAGTAAGGGTCACAGTCACAATAGTGTTTCTGTCACTATTTGCATCAAAGATCTGAAATATAAAAGCAACAAACCATACAGTATAAAATATACAACATTTTAAGTACATCTACAGCACGCTTAACTCCCATATATAGGTATACTGCATCATGATGTATACAAGCTAAGATCTAATATACCAAAGATTCGACACTCGGCAATTCTTCAAAGGGTAATCCGATTAACTGTGGAAAGACGTTCGTACGGCGGAAGTAGTCAGTCGCGTTGTGTTCGTGCGGAGGTCGAGCTTTGTTGCATGTGGGCGATTTCAAGGTAGGTAAAATACCGCTTTTAGTCTTGTAGTTTCTCTGAAAATGTATGTGAAGAAGGGAAAACTAACAAGGTTCACTTGTGTGTAAAATTTGCAATATTTTGGAGCAGATGTCATCGTGAAAAATTGCCTTCAATCCGTTGTTGCATTCTAATTAGCAATATGGCGACGAACAAGCGAGTCTGAATGCCTTGTTACCTAAGGTCTAACACGGGTAATTTGATTTTTTATACGTTGAATTTTATATTATTGATGACTGAATAACACGTTGGTTTTATTGGTTGATAATTTAATCTTAAACAGCTTCGTTTTCTATGAAAATTTAAACAATAATTCGGGCAATAAAGCAAGATGGCGGTGCAGATCATAATCGCCGGGGTCCAAATGCAAAGCCGAACACGAAAGTGGATCTGTACAATGCGTTGACAGTCTTACTATCTCCATCTAAACAAGTAGTGGACGGCCCTAGGGATAAACTTAGTTAAGATTTAGCTTGTTTTCTTAGAAATATTTATCGGTAAAGATGACGATAAAACAAAATGGCGGGGACTATCGTTATTGAAGGGCTTAAAATGCAAGGCCAAACACGAAAGTGGATCTGTACAATGCGTTGACAGTTAAATTGTGTCCATCTAAACAAGTAGTGGACGGCCCTAGGGATAAACTTAGTTAAGATTTAGCTTGTTTTCTTAGAAATATTTATCGGTAAAGATGACGATAAAACAAGATGGCGGGGACTATCGTTATCGAAGGGCTTAAAATGCAAGGCCAAACACGAAAGTGGATCTGTACTTTGCGTTGACAGTTAAACTGTGTCCATTTAAACAAGTAGTGGAAGGCCTTAGGGATAAACTTAGATAAAATTAACGTAGTTTCTTAGAAATATTCATTGGTAAAGATGACAATAAAACAAGATGGCGGCGACTATCGTTATCAATGGGCAACAAACGATGGTATTTTTATCCGTGATTTATACCTAAGTAAAACAATGCGGTAAAATGTGTCTCACATCCTTATAATTATTATTTTTGTTTTGTTTTCAGATGCCATTAAAATGGGTAAAGGCTCACAGGAGAAAAAATAAATAGAAAAATCTGGCAGCAAAAATCGGTAAGCTTTCTGGTCTATAACTAGAACTTAAGTTTATGGAGTTGAAAGTAAGATGTTTTATATACATGGGCACTATTATTCTGTCCCCGGCAACATTATTTCCAGTATAGAATACAAAGGATACATGTAGGTGCTCTCACCACAGTGGACTTACACAAATGACAAATAATAAGAGACTAGCACATGTCAGAACCTTTTTAACAGTAAAATATTATTTTATTTTCTCAGATTAATGTAACAATACAAGTGTTGCAGATGATATAGTTACACCACTGTCAAGTTTGCTAAGTGATTGTAAACAATCAGAAAGACACACTGATGTATTAAATAAGCAAAATGGTAAGCTGCCCGAAATTAAATATTTAATTTTTGCTCGATAGTTTTACAAGTGCACAAAGAGCTAGGTCAGTGTTGTCCGCACAGTGGACTTTAACATAACATGAGCAACTAGAGGATCAGAGAGGCGATACCGCCTCCGGATATTGTACCACCAGCTGGAGTAAGCACATTCGAATGGAAACCCCCCCAAAAAAGGGACACCACAACCAGTCTTGTCCTTGACAAGCTCTATGCAATAAACAAGAAATCTCAAAGTATGAAAAAAAAATCGAAAAAAATATAACATAAAAATGGTTCAATCAAGCGGATTTTCCAATTGGCCTGTATTTTCCTAAGATTGATCACTCCTGTGATTTTCTGGACAATAGGCCTATTGCTTTTCCTTGAAATGAGTTATCAGTGTTGCATATATGCTGAGAAAAGAGAAAACCTAGGGGCAACACTGGGCATACAAAATGTATCNTAAGCTGCCCAAAATTAAATATTTAATTTTTGCTCGATAGTTTTACAAGTGCACAAAGAGCTAGGTCAGCGTTGTCTGCACAGTGGACTTTAACATAACATGAGCAATTAACACATGTCAGCATCTTTTTAACTGTGTGATAATATTTTTTCAGATATATGTTGCAATGGAAGTGATTCTGATGACGACGTACCTCTGTCAAGTTAACTCGGTGCTACTCAAGAACCTGACAGGCACATTGATATTTCAGCAAATGGACCACCTTGAAACTAGCCATATGTTGTTCTTCATGAAAAACAAATTTATCACTATAAATTGTCTCCCTTCTGTAAACTCTGAAGTTTAGTGTAATGTCAAGTCTAGGTTGGAATTGGTCAGTAGTGCTCTTAGCAATAGATAAATATTATCATCAAGTGCATAATTTTTATTGAATGAGATATTAATGTTGAAACAAGTCAAAATAGAGGGGAAATGTTATAATTCTTTGTCATGTGAAACTAGTACTCCTAAATAAATTACCCATCTGTTGTGATTGTGTCACAGTGGTATCTAAAGGTGTTAACATTTTTATTTGCATTTCAATTTCTGTGCTTTATTAAATCTATAATAAAATGCTTATGAACAGAATATGACTTGTATTATGTTACTTTAACAGCCAGAAATGAATGATCAGTTTTAAATGCCGAATCTGATGAAATATTGATAATTTTTAGCAATCATCTTTTATTTAGTCATTTTTTAGTGAGATGACAAACAAAATTGTTACATATATTATTCTTCGAATACATTCTGTGGAAGATGTTCAAAAGACTGATGTTTCAAAACTGATTTTGCAGAGTTTAAAAATATGTGCATGATTTTGAAGTCGCAAGGAAACTATATTGCATGTGTTCTTTATAAATATGAAAAAACGAGTTTACTTTTATTTGATTGTCAATATAAAGATATGTCTTACCTTTCACTATTATTATGAAGTAGGTACCCAAATAAGTGTTTGTGAAAGTGAAATTAAAAACTACTTTTTCTTAATGGATTTTTTCAGTCCTTTTTGTTTCACTGATTTGCTACGAGTATTCTGGTAAATTTCAATTAATTATGCTCTAAAAGAATGACCGCTGATAGTGACAAAGTTTTACAAACATGCATAATAGATCAAGTTTCTGTTTTGGTGTAGCTTCACCATTCAGTTTCTCCCAGTAGGTTAGCATGGCCTTATTGTCCAAAACAGCATCGAATATCACTATCAGTTACGTTGATGATCTCGTCACGTTTCCGGCTATATCTCCACGTTGAGTCAATTTCTATAAAATGGCAGCTGTTGTTACAGGTAGTGCGCTATTGGGTATTGCCTCTTCTGAATATAAAGTATTAAGACAACTACGAAAAGTAAACAAACTGTACATCTTTTGCACTTTTTAATAAAAAAAACTCCACGTGTGCCAGTGCTAATCCAATATGGCGGATCTACTTGACGACGATGTGGAGTCCTCGAGAATGCACGAGAAATCGCGCTATTCGCTAAACACGGGTTAGGTACAATGGGGATTAAAATTAAGCCCGGCTATCAAAACAACTTAAGGGGAACAATAGAGCAATGTTTACCCGTACGAACGTCTGGTCAAAAGGAAAATGCCGCTGTCCAATCTTTCCGTTTATTAGATCTTAGGTAGAACACACGGTCTTGAAGGGTAAAGTGCATACATTGTTTAAAATGCACTGGTTTTTAAAGTATTTAATAAACAGTTCCTTTAATGTCACATTTACAATAATTCCTTAAACACAACATGGCAGGTGACAGAAGTAGAAGAGCAGATTGCAATCTATCTTTGTCTAAGCAAATTATGTTACCTTTTGAGGAAAATCAGACAAAATTCCGAAACGATTCATTCTTACAGCGCAATCTTATCATGAATTATCAGTTATCTCACGTTTGTTTATGGGTTTCAGTTAATATCCCCTCGTACATGTACCTTTGACCAGCCACGACTCACGAGGTCATGAGGCCAGTGTTTGTATGAGATTGACCCATTTCGGAAGACACGAGTCCACGTGTTTTAACATATTACAATACTTGGTCATTGGGCCATGTGCATATGAGTGCTACCGTTTACCCACGAGGTCTTGAGGCCATAAGACCAACGTTTGTATTAAATTGACCCATTTCGGAGGACACGAGTCCACGTCTTAATACTTGGTCATTGGGCCATGTGCATGTTAGTGCTACTAATAACCCATTTACGTGTCTTCTCCTCAACTGACTGAAGAGAGCACTCAGTGCAAATACGATTCAGATTAATGTTGAAATTGCCACAATTCATCTGCATTTTTCAAAACAAGGTTCATTGCTTGCCTTTCTTAACTGGATAATTTTATGTAAATAACGTTACCTTTTTGACCAGTTAACGCCGTTTTAATTGTAGAAATTATCTATAGTATCAAAATCACCATGATTTTACCTATGGGTTTGACTTACATAATAAGGCATTTTGAAACAGGTAGAATGGATATAATGATAATATTTTCCTTAAATATCACCCAAAGTCATTGTTTACAACGTGCATGTTGATATAAGACAGCTAGTTATGTGAGATTAATATTGATTGTCATATAGATACACGTTTTCACAGGCGCTACATTCCATTTACTATAACGTACCCATTGTGAGGAGCCAACAAGTTTCAGACAGCGATTTATAGTGTATTCTTTATTGTACATGATTTTGGCAATGTCAGTGTTTGTTTTGATTACAATTTATCAAACTCGCATTCAGAAAAATTTATAATAATCGCAAGGCGCGACCTTCCACAAGAAAGCTGCGTTTCCATCCATCACTGCACAGTTCTTGGTGCGGTCATTGGACGCAGGAGTGGTCAGACCTGTACCCCAACGGATCTTCAATTTACGTATCCATGAGCTTGTTCTATCTCAAAATTTTGTATCTATATCCAAATAAAATTGGGCTATTAATATGTTGTATATTGATGGACGTTAATAATATATTATTTCAACATATGTGTTAGTTTCTTTGACAATTTAGGTTCTGCGTATCCGCTTCATGTACCTTGATGACTTAGAGCGCATTCAGAACAACGGACAAACTGACCCGTGGATCAAATATGGCCGACCCACTTGGATGCTTGCCGCTTATTTCCCGATAAGACAGTGAATAGATAGCGGGGAATACGCAACAGGCAATCAGGTGGGT